ACCCGCCGCGGGGAGGGGACAGGGGCGGGGCCGCGCCGCGCGGGCCACGCCCCCCGCCCCTCCCAGCCAATCGCGACGCTGTTGCTGGGGCCGGGCCGGCCGCCTGACGTTGCCCGGGAGACGGCGGAACGTTGAAAACACACAAACCTGTTGACGTCGGTGCGTGGTTTCCGTGGAAACGGGCCTGCAACGTCATCGCCCTCCCCCTCCCTCCTCTCCCCGCCGGAGCTCGCGGGCGACGCAGGCGGCGGCCTCAGCCGCGGCGGGAGGGGTGGAGCCCCGTCGCCATGGCAGCGGCGGAGGGGGGGGCTCGGTCGCCAGGGCAGCGGGAGCGGCTGTTGTTTGTTTGGGAGGCGGCGGCGGCGGCGGCTGAGGTCGGACGGGAGGGGGGACGCGGCGGCCCCGGCCCCCTCGGGCGTCCTGCCCGCATGGCCTCCGGCGCCCGGGCACGGCCCGCCCCCGCCGGCGGGGTACCCCCGCGCGGGCCGCGGAGCCCCTCAGCTCGGGCGTCCGGCCGTGTGGGAGCCCCTGGGGGCAGAAGGCAGCGGTGTGGGGCGGGGGGTGGCCTTCAGCTGAAGCGGCCGCCACCCCTCAGGGCACCGGTGGCGCTTGGGCACCCCTGCCCGGCGCGCCGGCAGGGCGGGGGTTCGGTAATCTGAGGAGAGGAACGGGCCCAGGGTTAAAAATAATCCCGCTCACAGGGAGTGTTGATTTTTAACCCGGATCAACTGTGGGGCCCACTGTACTGCAGAGCCTGACCAGCGGGGGTGAAGGCCCGGCTAGAGGAAGAGCCCGGGGCTGGGATGGAAGGGCAGACGGATGGACAGACAGACAGACAACCGGCCATGGGAGGCCGAGCAGCAGGCACTGCACTGAGAGGAGCGTCCATGGGCTCTCGCCCCACTGCAGGCGCAGGCTGAGCACCCGCAGCAGACATGCTGCAGTTCTGCTGTGCTTGTCCTGCTGTGCTGGGACGCGTGTGTGAAGCGGACATGCAGGCACACCTCAGAAACGTGGCCTCGAAACAAAGAGAAATAAACAGAAAAGTGAACCACAGATGTTGCAGCGTTTTCTGGTCTGTCTCTTGAAGAGCGGCTGGGGTCCCCCCTTCCCCTCCCGGCAGCGGCATCCAAAACCACTCAGCAGACTTTGCCCGGTGCCAGTGTGTGGCCTTGCTCCCGCAACCAGCAGTGGCGGTGCCTGGTGGAGGCCAGACAGACCAAATTGCTCCTCCCTGCATCCCAGACTGCTCTGAGGAGCCCTGCTCCTGGCGCCCTGCCTCCTCCCCGGCTGCTGGTCTTTGGGTGTGCTTCATTCAGGTGTCTTTCCCTCTTACATCAGCTTCCTCCCCAACGACACGCAGCAGCCAGAGCCCTCCTGGGTGAAACGCCTGGCAAGGAGAGCTGGCTCGCCGGGGGACCCCCCCCCCGGCATTTTCCCCCATGCTGCGGCCGGGTGGGTGGGTCACGCCGGCCAGAGGTCTCCCCTGAAACCCCCAAACGCTGCCTTTGCATCGGGGGTTGCACAAGCGCCGCTGGCAGATGGGAGAGAAGGGAACTTCGGGGCCGCCCTGGCCTCGGCTGCCGCGTCGGGGGCCTGCGGGATGGGAACTCCCAGTGCCTCTTCCCCCTGCTGCCGCCATCTGCTGAGGCCAGCAAACTGGAAACCAGCTGCTTGCCCAACCCTCGCCAGCAGCCAAGGCTGTTGTCATTGCTGTTTGGTTTACATCAGCTCTGTTTGGTTTGGCAGGCTGAGGGCAGCAGGTTCAATCCAGGCGATTTTTACGAGGGCTGGTTCCTGTCCCACGCCCCTCGTTGGTGAACACGGCGTACATTGAGGATGCCTTCGCCCCGCAGCCCCAGGGCAGGAAAGGGTGCGGCTGAAATTAGTGTTTGCTTCTCAAGGGCAAGCCTGAAGTGCTGGTGTTTGGGAAGGTAATCACGGGGCGTGAGAAAAGGCCTTCTGCATGGTCATGGCAGCTCCCCGTGTGCTGCGGGGGCCTGGTCACCTGTACTCGGGGACGGCTGGCCACATGGGAAAGTATGGGTAGGTGGCCAAAGGCCGGGATCACGCCTGGGGTCTGGACGGCTGCAATTCAGAGCATGTCTGAAGTCACCTGCCAGGGTGACTGAGGCCAGCGGGAGGGATGTCCCACTGTGATGGGTACCTTCCCACAGCCTGTGCCCCAGGCAGCGCCTGCTACTGACACCTGGCACCTTGTGGGTGCTCCATTTCCACCTGAGATGCATCTTGTCCAGGCAGCTGGCACCCGTGGTAAGGGGGGGGGGGTTCTCTTCCATGTTTCACACTGAAGTGAGAAAGGAAAAACGCCACTGGTTAGTCCTGCTGCTCCACTCTTCCCAGGACAGGCTGTCTGCCTGTCCCATCCCAGGGTGCAGGGAACGGGGCTGTGGGCACGGGCGCTCACAGCTCCTGGGCTGCAGGGAGCCACAGAGGCCAGTTAGCCCAGTGTCCTCCTCCCTGTTATTTTTTTCCGCCCCGGGTGCCGCATCCTGCCAGTCAGTGACCCCATCAGGGCTGGGGTGTCGTGTCTCCCCGTCTGCCCCCCCATCAGCTGCAGATCCTCACCCGTGGGGAAGGAGCAGCAGGGCAGAGGACGGAGTTCAACACACGGCAGCAGTTCAAGTCACCTCCACCCAGCCCTGCCCTGGCTGCTTCTTTCCAAACCTGCCCTGCCCTGCGGTGCACGGGCCCAGCTGAGCAGTGATGTGGGGCAAGAGCAAGCTGCTGGAGATTTGGGGTGTAAGGAGGCAGCCACACAGCTCTGTATCGCCCCTGGTCCCCTCCTGCTAGAGCCACGTATTTCCTTCCCTTGCGCTGGCCATAGGGGCATGCAGCTGTGTGGCAAGCCAGTTCAGAGAGCCGACCTGGCTGGAAACGGAGCAACTTATTTTGGCAGGTTGGAGGTCAGCTCGGGTCACTTGCTCCTCAGGCTTGCCATGGACTGAGCAGCTGCCAGGGTCCCCTCCCCACTGGGGGACCCCATTCCCGTTCCTTGCCAGGTCCAGCTCGCAGCGGTGTGGTGAGGAGCCACCCTCTTGTGCTATCCCAGCAGAAAACCTTTTGCTGCCTTTTGTCAGTCGGTCCTCCGCTGGTTTAGCAAGGTGAAATGGCTGGGAGCAAAGTCAGGAGGCAGCAACCAGTGCAGGGAGAAGTCTGGGTCCCGTGCCAGGAGGAGTGGGAAAAGCCAGCCTACGGCAGCTGGGCTCGGACTGCTATGGAGCTGCAACCCAGGCGGCCGGGCACTCGCCTGTGCCGGCACGACGCAGGGTGCGGTGCCGGCAGGCGGCCCACTACCTCTACATC